TGCCAGACACAGAATGACTCCCTGTAAGGGACTGAAGTTTCCCTTGGTGGTGATAAGAAACAGCCACAGCATTGTCTTGTAGCCATCCTGGAATGCGAGCACTCAGGGACCACCTTCGGGCAGCAGAGCTGGGCTGAGGCGCCCTGTGCAACCACTTATGGGATTGGTGCTGGCACAAGTGTATACAAGGAATCAGCTCTTAACGTATCTTTGCAGACTCCTTGTAGAACCACTGATGGCAGCAGGACTCTGCCCAATGCATTGTTCATTAAGGTGGGGTTTTTTATATATATATTTAAGCACAAACATGTTTAAGGGGTACCATAAAAATTCCCCAACACCACATTGCAAAATACAATCTATAGGATTTGTTATTGAAGGGGTAAAAAGACTGATACAACAGCTGGAATTTGTAAAATGTCCTACCGAAGCAAAGTGTACAATATGTGACGCTCTCCAAACTTTCATCCTGCTGTCTTTCCCAAACAAATAATTGAAATCTTCTCGTATCATCAATCTATGTTTTAAAACAGACACAAAAATAACATTAAAATTATATGAAATACAGATGTTTTTTCTTCGTTCTTAATACTCAATGTCATTACCATTTCTCTGTTAAAATAGATACTATTCCTAACTTGGTGGTTTCACTGCTGTTGTAATATTGAGCAGGTACACAGAAGACTTTTTCAGTTGCCATTCTGGAGCATTCTGATTGCCCTGGAGCATTACAAGGAAACCACTTTGTGCCTAAAGGTTTAACTCCATGCTGTGCCATAGAGAGATTGCCAGGTTAGTGTAGCTGCTAATAATAATTAATAGGTGTTAGCACAGCTTATTAGCTAAGAGTATTGCATCAAGATAGATATTTAAAGCTAGCTCGGATATTTCTGCGTGGTGTTGAACTTAGGTCCTCCGTTCATATTCATTTTATACATTGTCTTTCTGCTCTTCCTAGATCCTAGATTAGGTAGGGACTCAACTTTTATTCTCTGTTTGTATGCATATGGCTACCCAGGTCTTGACTGGGGCAGCTGTGTGCTACTATAATACAAATGAGGGGAAAAATGAGTCATTGTGGGATTGCAATTGAATGCAAATGAAAGAAAATCCTCATGGTTTAAATTCACATATCAAGAACTTTTCTGTAAAGGTCACCATATTCTCCCCTTGACAATATAGAGCACTATGTTCTGGCCTGAAGAATACTTTCTTTTAAAAAAATGGGGAGACAGCTTTATAGGTAAGAATGGAAATCTCAGCACAGGTAAATTTTTTTTTTTTTTTTTTTTTGCCAGTGAAGGTTGATCACTTTTTTTTCTTTTCTTAGTAGGGTGCTACAGAGAAAAGGGCAGGATGTTCTATTGCAGCTTTTTCTGGGACAAAGAGAAATCCTCCACAGTGAAGATGTTTTCTTGGAAGAGAAAATTCTAGCATCATAAAATTCTAGTATTAGAACAACCTACATGTTGCCTGTGATCAGCTGAAGAAAGACACTTCCTCAGTAGAAGATTTGACCACAGAAATGCTTGAGGAACCCTGCTCCAACAAAATCCTACAATTTCACTGACCACCCAACCAAATGTGATTCAAGGGAAAAAACATTTCCTTCTGGACTAAGATAAATAAAAATGACTGTGAAATATCATAATATTGCAGGACATGAACCATATATATGGATAAGCTAAAATGGTGAGGAAATAAATAATTACTTCTTTGCATTAAACTTAAGCTTTGTGTGTGTTATATACAATGCATATACAACACCACATAATTAACTTCTGATTAATGTCTGTAAAGGATGTTATAGATAGGCCTCTTCAAAGGAATTAGAATTGGTAATGACTGTTTAAGTGATCTCCAAACTGAGGCTCCCAAAGCAAACTAACCAAAGCCAGTAAGTATCTGTGGCTACAGGCTGGTAGGATCATGAAGATTAAACCACCTCTCAACTACAAGGGCAGAAGTCCATCCGAAATAAAAAGGGAGGTTGTATTTTCTTGGGTGGTGGTGGTAAGGTTAGATGCCTTCCCATCACTGTAACCATAATGGAGAGTGAATTTTTTGCCTTTCCTCCTGCTAAGCAGCTTTTTTAAACTTTTCTACTCTGAAAACTGATTTACGGAAAGTTGGCACCTTTGTAAACACCAGATGTCATCATATGCATTCGGATTCATAATCTGCTTATACCAAGTAAACAAAATACTGATGCTTGCTCCTGCTTATCCTGTGGAGCAACCCAGTGAATAAACTATAAGCTTCCTTCTCATATGCCAGCAGAATTTTTTCATTCTGCTAAATTAACATTCAGCCAGACAAATATGTGAGTTGACTAACAGATATGAGGCTGCATGAGAATAAATGTAATACAAAGATTAAAGGGCTGACTTAGATGCTACTAGATCAGAACTTAGGCTCCAAGTTTTGCACTTTTTGTCACAGTAAGTAAACATAGTTTCCTTCTATAGAGATAATTTTGAAGAAGGAGCAGCTGGAAGGAATTTTATTTCGAAAAAGTTAAAACTGAGCACAGATGATACAAAAATAAATTGAGAAGAGAGAGAACATGGAATCCATATTATGAAACCTTAAAGAAACTTAGAATTGTTTTCCTTTGGTACCTGGCAAAATGGATTGCTTTTTATATGAAGTCATATTTTAAAACAGAAGTTGTTAATTTTCTCCTGCACAGTAATACAGCTATCAAAAGGGGTTTTGTTTAATTTGATTTTCTTTTGAAAAACAAAAAAACCTGTTGTACTTGAAGCCTTCTACTACTACTTTTTCTAGAAACTAGGGCCACAGTTTGTTAATTAAATGGTTAGTACGTGTCACAACTTCAGAAGAGAAATGGCATAGGTAACCAAGTGAAATTAACACAATGTTATTGAAATTCTGTGATTTGGCCTAAAAGCACAAGTCATAAATAATTTAAGTGCAGAAAGAGGTCAGATGGTGATTATTATGGTCAAGTGAATCAGTGATTCTTTGTTAAAATAGTAACCTTTAATATAGCCCTTTCTAATAAGGGATTGGACAGTTCCTGTAGCACTTACTGGCTTGAAAGCACGCTTTACTCAAATACTAGTAGATACTACGCAAATGGATGACTGACTCTATTTTCTATAGTCTATCTACTTACTGAGAAGGCACGTCTGACATTTGGCACTTCACTGAAGGCAATAACCACTGGAGTGATATCCAAGGCACTCAACTCAAGTACAGCTGTGCTGATGGCAACATCATCCTGTGATGGACCATTAGCAAAAAATAGGGCAACTTTTCTTGTGAGGATGCCCTGACGAACACGTTTGAAGACATTTCTTGCGACAAATCTCATGGCTGCCCCAATATTACGTTTTCCAGTGGATCTCTCTAGTGGTATTCTCCGAACTGCTTGTAGCAGCAAGTTGCTTTTTTGGAATTCTGAGAATCGGATAAGATAGCGCGTATTGGTATTAAAAGAAACAACAGAGACACGAGCGCCTGTTGGGCAATTGCTTTCACTGATCTTAATGGTCTTCAGCAATAACATAACAATGTTTCTCATTCTTTCAAATGCCACTGGTGTAACGTCTTCAGACATATCAAAGGCAAACACCACTTCAGTTGGATAAACTGGACATGTGTCTGTAGATTGAAATAAAAAATTTGTGTGAGAACCTTTCCACAACTCAAACATTGTCAGTTTTTTCTTCAAGTCTATAAAAGAATGGACACGCATAGGCGACATGGGCTTACCTGAGGAGCAAGCTGGAATGAAGAAGTGGAAAGCAAATAAATTATTTTGGACTCATATTCATTAAAGTAGGGACATATTCACTTGCTTTCACTAAAGAGCCTGATCCAAAGCTCAGACAACTGACAGAATCTGTCAGTGAGAGACAACACTCCTCTTCCACAATCAAATACTCAAAATAGTGCAATTTTACTGGATGAGAATTAAGGAAATTGTTCTGGGTTCTGCTGAGCACACAAGTCAGAGAGAGAATGAGCACTCCAAATCTGGAGGACAGGTGATATACAAATACTGTCTTCTCTCAGATAATTCCTCAAAGGGGGTTGGCACAATGCCAAAAAAATAATTTACTCTTAAATGAGGACAAGAGACATTTGTTACAGTTCTTGTATTTAAGAGATAGGAAAACTGAGCAAAAAGCATAAGCCTGTTTCATACACCTGCTGAAAACCCCTCACAGTTAACAACTACCCATCATCATCAAACTGAACCCAGATACAAACTACTAGTTTACAGGGTTTCCAATGGAGGCTATTCCATTTAAGAAGAGTGACTAAGTGGAATCAGAGGTAAAAGAAGATGCTCCCTACTTACGGCAGTTTTTTCGTGTAAAATTCACAAGTTCACAAGGCTGCAAGAGCAAAACAAAAAAGCAATTAATGGCAAATCCCAAACCATCCCAGACTGGGAATCTTACTATTGGTTTGAGGTGAATGTCATATCCCAGCTCCTGAACTAACTCTCGCTACAGTAAATCCAGAATCACACATTCCAGTTCCTCTATTTCAAATAGCACAGGGGCTCTGCCCCTGCTGCAGAAACTAAGGGTTTTTTTAGACATGCTCTGTTGGCACTTAATCGTGCTCTGGAATATTAAGCAACCATTTAACCGTTCACCATTTTGTGTAATAATCTGATCTAAGAGGTCACCAGGCAATGGCACTTCCATGGGAGAATGGGCATTTTAATAGCTACTCACATAAGAAGAGAGAGGTCCATGAAGGAGGAGAGGATCCCCTTTGGACATAAAATGCACCTGCAATAGTACTGTCTGCAGGTTGTTGTCCATGCAAGGGTTAGACGGAGCCTTGACTTGGAAGTGTTCATTTTACATGGGATCAGGATTCTGAAGAAATCCTGCCCTGCTATTCCCAGTGAAAACAGCTGTTGCTGAGGAAATGCCTTCCTTTACAAGAGGGTGAAAAGTAACCCTAAACCTGAGCTGGTATGTAAACTGATGTGAATGAAGAAACAGATAAAGGAGTATTAACTGTCCAACAGTTTGTAAAAGTTTGGACATGGCGTTAATCCATGTGCATAATTGTTTCTCAATCCTTGATTATTTGCAAAACAGAAGAACCCACTGCAGTCTGACAAGTATTTGAAAAGGATACGGTTTTCTAACAGCTAATTGTGCTCATTGCAGTCAGCGCTTATAAATGAAAGAAGACTAAAACTGTTAGTTCCATGCAGTACACAGTCAGCTGTAAGGTAATTACTTACTTCCATTAAAATGGTGCCCATTGGTCCCTTGGCACCCTGAAACAAATTAAACACAGGTTCAGAAAATCAGACCCTGATAACACATTTCCATCTATGACTCCGTAGCCCAAAGAAAATGCAGACATACAGTGTTTCCCTAATAACCATTTGTGAATTTGAAATATGAGGAGACATCTGTTCCCAGCATGGATTTCTGTGGACCTGTTCCCAACAGAGTTGCAGACTACTTCTCAGACCTATTTCTCAGTCCATTTTCCTTCCTGGTTTTATAAATGTTCAATACTTGTTGCCCTTGAGGACCAGTATAATTCAGAATTGGATTTCCTTTCTAAACAGCAATTTCTGTGCTGTGGTTCAGTTATCTGCACCTTACACCCTTTTCAACCTCCGATGTGTGATAGGCTTGCCCTCTCCTCCTGCAGGGCACAATCCCCACAGTTCTACCTCGAGAGATTCTGCAAGACCATACACACATCATGACTGCTCACCAGCCTAGCTAGCTTTGGCTACTCTGCAGCCTTCTCCTTGGGAGCTGTGGGCAAATGCCAGGATTCCAAGCATCTTCTTTCAAAATAAAAATATTGTTTAATCTTCATAACAGGAATAAAATACAGGGAAAAGAACTTTTTTTCAAGGCAGCTTGAAAATTTTCATCACATGTGCAACTCAGATGTGTAGCAAGACTACCGAAAATTTTCACTTATTCGCAGGGGGCTGCAGTGAGATACACCAGAAAAATTTGAACTCCACATCCCACCTTTACCTTAGCCTCTCTCTACCATAACACCACAGTTTACCAAAATCATATACTTCCTTATGTCCCCAGATTACAACCCCATCTCCATATTTGTTGCTTCCCTCTCCAGTTAACCTTCCATTCCTCCACCTCCCGTCTGAGCTACCTTCCTCATCTTCTCTGCTGTCTTGCTGCTAGCACCATCACAGCCATTCCATGCTTTTATCTTCTTATGTTTCCCAGCAGGTCCCAGTTCTTCTTTGGTACTGTTCAGCAAGGGTTAACCGCGACTTGCCTGAGCCCTAACGAATGCTACTTGCAGCAGCTTATTAATGGTGACTGTGAGCTGTGCAGACTTGACCCATACGGATAATCATGCCACCAAGTTAGGAAGGATAGGTAAATCAGGCCTGTTTTGGCTGGCCCTGCCTACTACCTGTACCCCTTCCTGCATCCCTCTCTTCCACTTCCCACAGGATTCCCATTTTCCCATGTCACTGATGCACTGCTACTATTATAATCCCACCAAGCCCCTACTTCCTAAGCTCCACTCTCACTTCTACATCTGAAGAGGAGATCTTGAGCTTGAAATCTCCCTGAAGACTTCTTGGACTGTGGATTGGCAAGGCCAACAGCTATCTGGTTCATAAGCACATAAAGTCTGTCTGTCTGCAACATTATGTGAGCAGCCAAGCAGCAGGGAGGGCAATGCATTCCAGCTGGCACTCTTGCCATTCTTGTGCCCAGCACCACAAAATAAAGTGGGCCAGGTACATACATCGACCAGCACAGTGTAATGACAAAAAAAAAAAAAAAAAAATTGTTTTCCAAGTTGCAGGTATCCCGTAGGCCATGATATACAGGTAAAGATACTGTTATCAATAATGTTCCATATTTAAACTAAAAGAGTAAGCTTAAGGAAGTTTAACAGGAAAATAACTTAACAGTAGGGATTGTTTCCAGTCACCATGGAGCTGATTTGCAGAACTGCTGCAAGATAAAGATACACATACAGGGATTTTCCTGTCTACAATGTTAGTCCTAAATCCTACTGAAATCCACGATCCTTTCCCCTGCTTAGATAGAGAATAAAACTTTTTATTATATAAAATGCAGATCACACACTGAAAAAGTACATCAAGACATCTACTTGCATATAAGGATTAACAGGTTACAGTCAATTCAAGCTTTAAGTTAAGTGCCTACAACTGCAAGTCTGATTTTAAATGGCTTTTCTTTTTAAATGAAAAAATACACTGGCTTTCAGCAGAAGAATCCAGTTCTACATTTTAGTACTCTCTTCTTTTTTTAATTAGATATTTTCCCAGCTTAAATACAATACCTAATACTGTGGAAGAAACTCTGCCCTGCATTGTATCACTGCAGTTCCATTTTCAACAGCAGGTGCTCTTGTGCATCCACAGGCAAGACGTAACTCTATACAACTGCCAAGCTGATTAAGCACAGTTTACCAGATGAAACATTACTAAATATTCCATTAATCTAATAGCAAGTTTAAGAGCAATCTAAGAGTGATTTTTAAAAATAAATATATTACCATAGGTCCTGATGGCCCTTGGTCCCCTGGATCTCCCAGGGAACCTGGTGTGCCAGCATTACCCTAAAAGTAGAAATACAAGTTTTATTCTTTATAATTGCACACACAGGTGCAGAATTTCAGCAGAGAAAAACCACTATAACTTTATTGTGAGCTGGATCCTGCATTTACATAAAGATTGACTACTACCCCTAAGAATTATTAGCAATGAACATCTCTTAGACCTGCATTCTCTCAAGACCTCTTGCCCAGGATATGGCAATAAAAGATCAGAGTGGGAACCAATTTCAAAAAATTTTGGTGAGGAAACACTTACGACATAAGGGCTTTACTTACAACCAAGGACGAGGATAAGGCTGAGGTA